GAAATAAAGTAATTGTGTTATTTGTCAAATTACATTTTCAAATGCTCACAAATAACTTCAATATCATAAAAATGAAATCTATCACCAAGAAGCAAAATCCATAATGCAAAAGGAAAAGGATATCTTTAGACGAACTTCTATCTTAAAAAAGGTCTTTGCAACACAGAGCAAGTCTGACTCCACAACTCTGATTTACAGTGAGAAGTCATCAGTCAACAAAAACACTGATATTAGCAAGCTTAATTAAACCACACCCACAATTTCTGATTCGTGTTTCTGAAGTTCTGCAAAACAGAACAGAACAATGGTCCATTATTCACAGCTTTAAGGGCAAGATGTCCAGATTCTTTCTGACATGTCCAGATTTTTTCTCTGCTAGCTCTGAATGACCCCAAACTTAGGTATTCGTCTAGCCAATTTACATGACATGTTCATGACATAATTGGCAAGCTACAGTAAACAAGTTTGAGCAGTGAAAACACAGTAACTTTTTTTGAAAACACAAATCCAAACAAGATGTATTTATGCACCTACACCAAAAAAACATTGCTAGGCAATTTGTTAGCACAATTTGGAGGATGAGGACAGGCATTTTATGCTTTCCTTTAGGGACAAAGTACAGCATATGAACATAAGTTAAACAAAGAAGAAAAAAAAAAAGGAACTTGGCATGCTTTTTACAACACATAGGCTTGGCTGGTCCGATCCATACAGGTAATAAAATCGGTGATAAAATCAGTCATAATATGACTACAGTCCACTCATGCCTGCAGCAGGATGAAATATGGCAACCTTTCTTATGCAAATGGATTAGCTATGTCCTAACAGATATAAATGATATATTAAACCACTCGGGCAAATAAGCACTAAGTTTTTGTAAATTTTTACCATTTTTCTAAAGGAGATTTAATCATGGATAAAATAACTACAGCTAAAACAACGTGATGATCACTGACAATGGATTTTCAAATTTAATCCATTCTATCATATTCCCTAGGAACTTACTTTCTCTAAGCAACCATGCATCCCTTTCAAGGAATAGTAAAATCCTCAATAATATACTGACTTGCAGTTACCCATTCAAACTAATAAGGCTAACATGGCTCCTGCCAGAATCCCAATCCTTCTCATTAATGAGGTAGCTGAAAATCATTGCTAACCTGTGAGGATGAAAATCACCCTTTGAACACTTTCACCGGAGTGCGACCTTGCATACTATTGCAGCTTCTTACTTGCCTTAAGCCACATGCAACACCAGATTACAAATTGGACAGAACTTAACAATTAAAAAAATGTAGGAAATATACTTTACCTTTTGTGACTTCAACATCTTTTCTTGTACCTGCTATATTACTGTATATCTTCCTAACAAGATCCATGTTATTCAAAAGGGCATTAAATGCATTGAAATAGGAGAAGCTGACCTGATGTGAAACAGTTCCACCAGCTACCTTTAAAAATTAAATGAATGCAGTTAAGTGCCTTAAGCCCTTTTACAACATCTTATTACAAATTACAGAAACATCCATTTGGGTAAATAAGGAAAGTATTAAAGATATCTTTCTATTCCTGTAATGTTAAGATCTTTTTAATAGAAACATGATGGGACAATTATTAGACAGGATACTATTTTTTGCTAAAAAAATCAAACATTAAGAAACAATCAGGAAATAATCATATAAGCAGATTATTATTCAATTTATCTGATACACACACTAGAGGTGTCACCAAGTATTTTTCTAATACTCTCTATTTCTAATAGAGAAATGTATTTAAATGCTACTTTAGATAAACGCACTGCCTTCTTGCATCACATACAGCAGGGAGCATTTACTTCAAAGTCTAAAGTTAGTAAATACTATAAATTTTATAGAAGGTGGTATGCCTTATTAGTTAGGCAAGGCAAGATGTATAGGTAAAATAGTAAGAAAAATGTTATTATACTTTATATAACTTTCATTCTTATGTACTTTTTACACTATATACTTTTAGTTTATAGCTGTTATGTCATTACTTTACCTACAGATCTTGCCAGACTATCTCAGACTATCCCGTTCTACCTCTAGAGTCTACATACTGATTTTCCAAATTCTGATCTGAAAAAGAAAAGAATGTAAGAGTATATAAAAGGACAAAACTGTAAACGGTCTCCACCTTTTGAGATCTGTCATATATTCAAATATAAAAATTAGATGCTTTTGTCCTAAATGAATGATCTTTCTGTGCCAAGTGCAGTTTGCCCTGCTTTAGTGGATACTAAACACTTTTAGTGCACTAACTCAGTGTTTCCAGTGGCATTTTAAGCAGTAAACCAGGTTGCCAAACTCTCCCACTACTGCAGCCAAGAAGTGCTGCCATGTATCACCCTGCCCACTCTATTATGAAGGTGAGAATCTCTAGCACTAAGGCAGTGATTAAATAAGTAGGAGAAAACAAAGTGGGAGAGAAGCAGTAACATCTTAAAATATTACAGGTATTAAACCCTCAACGAAAGGCACTTTTCTTCACACTTACTGAAACTAAATTTTCTTCGACAAATGGAGTTAGCATATGCGAGCGAAGGGTAACCATGATGTCATTGAAGTCCAGCCCAGTTATCATACCACTTTTATTTTTGTCCTTCAATGCAAAGGCTTGTCTTGCATGTTCTGACTGCAGCTCCTACAATGAATATTCAGAAATAGCAGATTAGAAACAAATTCTGTAACTCACTGCTCACAAAATTCACACTTATTTCATATTCTTACAGTATGCCTGAATACATCTATGCATGTAGACTAGAGCACGATTGCAAGTTTAAATTTAAAGGCCAGCTCAACTAAAACACAAAGTCTGCATACTGATTCTATCCACAGATTCATTCCTCTGTCAAAGAAAAAGCCTCAATTCAACTGAAAGGAAATACACTAAATTTCACTACATTATTTGAGAAATAAATTTCACATACCCATGTCCTGTCTGCTATCTATTCCTTTATTAAATACTTAACTGCCAGATAAAATTCTGATATTGATCTTAAAGACTTAAAGTGAGCTGATCTCTTACACACTCAAGATGATATATGACTGGGCTAACTTATTGAAAAGTACCTAATAATAAACAGGAGGACAGTGAAAATTATATAATATATAGATTGCCCCCAACAGCTACCTCCTATAATGTCAGAAATGGTCACACATTTCAGGTAATTTAAAACTCCTATACAATCTGTAAAAACCTTCATATAAAGCACACTGCAGTAACCTAACCTCAAGATAATAATGATGGTTGTAAATTCTATGTCCAGAAAAAGTTTTTTCCTTCTATTCAAGCAAACAATAAAACACATTTACCCGTCATTTAGATCTCTAGAAGCAGCTAGAATAATAACCATGTTCTGACAGACAATAAGAAGAGAGCAAACTATGTAGCTAATATCACCTTTACAGTAATTTCTCAAGTCTTGTAACCCCAAGAACAAGGTTTTCTAGATCAGGGTGCAACAAGCCTGCTCTGATCCATGTCCCAAACCCCACATGATGCTGTTAAACCAAATAAGAAAAACCACCTGATCTAAAAGGAGTGACAACAATATCCAACTTGTGTACATATTGAAATTACTGCAGTCCATACTACCCTTCCCTACAAAGGTTTTTTATTATATGATGATCTTGGAACAATAAACATAAAAACAGAACAGGTATTTATCACTTTGCTCTGGGTTCCCTATAAAAAGATTCTTCTCGCTAGCAATCTGATTTTTTTTCTGCACTAGTGTCCCAAGTTTGTGCCTGGGATCACTTAAAATATGTAGTATCAAATGCAGAACACAGTTTATTCCTTCAAAATAACATCAAGTTACACCACAGCCTTGAAAGACTGCGCCAAACTCCAGTATCTCAATTTACAATATAGTCTGACTAGATATGATCTGAAGTTGTACTTTTCTAGAATCTGCTCTACACCTATTTTTATCCTGGACAATAGTTACAGATTATACCAAAGCACATCTATCGCTCCCTAGTTTTTAAGACAGTATGTCCAAAACTATTTTGTGCCAAAGGCCAGATCTGGAAGTTGTGTAATCTATACTTCTTCGGGTCTACCAGACAGATAACTAAGTTTCTGTGTGTGCAAGTGTAAGTGATCACTGTGTGATAATTTATGGAATTCAGTGCAATTACCTACAATTCTGTGAACTCCTTTCTCATGAATTATAATGTACATTTCTCCTACTTTCCTCTTCCTCCATCCTTTATAACTGATGTCTTCCTTTACTTCCTTCTAGTATAATGCTCAATTCATAATATGTTTTCCCTGTAACTTTTTGACTTAGCACAAAGTCCAGTTCTAGGAGTGAGATCCTCTAAAGCCTAATCCCGAGAAGGTGCTTCAGCAACATCTCAGGAAAGCAGATTTACCTCCTGCGAAGCTGGCTGCATTTAAGACCAAATTCCCAATATATGTGTGGCAGCATGCATGCCAGTGAGAGAAAAGAAGGGTAAGTATTAGGATAACATTTATAAAACTAAAAGAAAAGTTAAAGAAGCTAAAACCTTTATACGGGAGTTTATATGGTTAATAACAACTGGTTATATTAAGGATGCAATCTTTCTCTGGTAGACCTTAGTTCTGCTATTAAATTCCTATGACAGAAAAAGCAGACCCTCAATCTAGTTTCACAACAACCAGTACAATGGTTAATTTCATAAACAGTATATTTAGTCCCATTCTTTTATAGGATGGTATTCAAGTTATAGCACTATGAGTGCACACTGCTTACAGAATTGCTATGGAGAAATAACAGTTCATCGTAACTGTCAGGATTAGTATCAGATAGATAATGATTATCATTATCAGAACAAGCTCAAAATTTGGTATTAGTGTATTATTAGAAGTGAAAATGAATTTCAGTTCTACTTTGGAAGAAGGTTAATAACTGACCTGAAGAAACTGAGTGAACTCTGAATAGTTAAGATGCTTCTTCCTATTATGTCCAAAATGCAGTCGAATGAACTCACAGTCCCAGTTGAAGGGGATTTGAAGATGAATAATAGTTTGTTCAAATATTTCTTTGACATTTGCTTTGGGGGAGGGAAAAACAACAAGTGAGCTTTGGGGTACAGTAAATCTACAAACATTCCAAGGATGCAAACAAATTATGTTTTAAGCAGCTGTTTAAAAAGTGTTTTGGTTTGTTAACAATAATTGCTAACCGAACCTTTACAGACCTGTGTAAGAACACATTTGCCACACAACATGATACCTTCTGTATTACCGCATAAAACCTTGGAGTGAGTGTTTTATTTAGTTTTAATTAAGAAGCAATTTCCCTCATACATGACAAATAAGAGCTATTTTGCATTCTGATATAAAAATCAATAGTGGGTCTCCATCTCTGCTAGGAGTCAAATTAAGCCCTTTATCAAGCACATGAAAACCTGCATTATAATCTCACGCAATATTTGTCATACTAACTATGGTTTGATTGAAACATGATTATTACAATCACACTGTCTGAATATGTCTATTGAAGATAGGTATAAGAAATGCCATCTAAAACATATCATTAACTCAGCAGAAAGCACCTTATTAAAAGCTTTTGATAAGGCCTTAGCACAAAAATCAAATCCTATAAAACACAATTGGTAGTCTCAGTTATTAAAATGTTTTAAGATAAGTGAAGTTAGAGATGGCCTCTTTGAAATGAAGAAAAAACCTGTCATTTCAGAATATGGAATTCTCTGTATGTGTACTGTACAATTGAAATCTCAATGCCAAACGCAGTACCTGAATTCAGTCAAAAACCTCATCTGAAAAAAAAGCATGTGTTATTCACACACAGCATTGCCATGCTGCAAAACGAGCCTCATTTTTGTACAGATTCAACCACGTAAACAGTATAACTGGACATCTATCCACACCACATGAACACTTACCATCATCTACCTCAAAGCACCTGAATTAATTTGTTTTTATCAACTAACCTGGAACCTCCTTAAAACCCCAATAAAATGTGGCATAGTGCTTAAATTTAAAACAAAATACAAAATATTTTAGCTGAAAACACCTCTTTTTTATTGTTTAGAAGTAAACAGTTCTACTAAAAGACAAAATGCAATGAGAAGAACTTCAGTATCATTCGATAATTCCATCAAGACCTATTTACTTGGAGTAAATTTGTTGCTTTCTCTATGCTAAAGGACTAATTGATCCATTCATCCTTTCAATTCTAGAGCTTTTCTAATAGTTCTAGATCAAATCTAGGCAAATCACTACATGGTTTTATCTTTTCAGTGAGGAAAGGAAGGGAAATGTTCAGAGCAAATCTGTCTCAGAACAGGGACATACAAAGTAGGATTCCTTGGCTAGGTCACCTGCTTTAGTTTGAGATTACATATTTGAAGGGCAGGTTGTGGCTAGTAAGTGATTTTAACTGTAATTTAGCCTTTACCTAAAGGTCAAGCACAGACTCTAGTCAAAAAAATGCAATTTAAACCATAGTCTCAACTGCAAAGTAGGCTAAAGGAGTTGTTCAGGTAAACAAGAAACTTATAACTACCCTGAGTACTTGCAATTGTCCATTCATACCTATTTACCGATACTAATATGCAAGGTAAGGGTTAAGAAAATGAGAGATAAAGCACCCAATAAATAGTTTAGCACGATGTTATTTTGACATATTTCCTTTGAAAGTTTTGTCTGCAGTAGATTTATTCATCATTGCTAGAGATCAAGGAACCAGGAGAGGTAAATTTCAATTCCCCACCTTACAAGTGATTCACTGCAGCTTCTGAACAAGCCACCTAAAGTCTTCACATACTACAAACACAGATCAGCTGCGCTCACTATTGGCCTTACAAAGCGGCACTGAAGTGTGAACAGAAGAGAAGACGGGCCTGCTTAATTGGATCTATCGGCTTGGCTACTAATGTACAAACAAGGTGCCAACTAGTGATTACTTACACATCTGTAACTAATACGCACCGAGTTTTCCTAATGAAAACTTAGGACAGAACATGCTGAAGCAGCCAGAAAATTTTAAGTTGTGTTTTCAATTGTTTGCAATGATTGCTTCTTTTAAATTTAGAGAAAGGTTTAAAAAAAGTCTTTTTTCTTATAAGAAATTAGTCATACATGATCATATAGACAGATCTTCCAATTATTTTTAATGAGACTTAAGCCCCTGGTCTTTTAATAACTCACTCAAGCATTTAATTGTATACTACTTACTCAACCAAGAATCGGTTTCCTACGCTATTGATTTTTCCTTCTTCTTACAACTAGTCATCAACACATCACAAGTCAAGATTCTTCAGCACATAAAATAATACCAGTAAATGAATTAATAAATTTATATTCAATAGGTGAGTGTATTGGTACTTGAAGAATCCCAGTAGCATCTAACTAGCTTTAAAAAATGGTATCCAGATTAGCCTGTTGCTTCTCTGAAAACTGAGGTGCCTTATCAATTTTTCCCCCACAGGCAGGCAGTCACAATCAGTATCACTACTGTGATACTGCATGTATCACAGTAGTCTGGGTTTAAGGATATGCTATTGTATCTAATCCTTAATTAATCCCATGTTGGCTTTGTTTATGAAACATCTGGGGTACAGGAGCAAAACTGTGCACTTGTTGTGAGTAACTGACACAGTTAAAAACACTGAAACTCTAAGTACAATTTTCCAAAGCCATTTGGGATTCTCAAACATCTCCAGATAAGCAGTAAAATTTACTACTTCTACCCAAGAGCAGCAATGGTTTCTTTACAATGTATCATGAATACCTTTTTAATGCAATTTTGTTGGCTGTTCTCTAGATTAAAGGAAATAGCCATCTCCACAACTAACAACTTGTGTAATAAGAAGCAGCAGACTATCACATTCCAAAAATCATACATAATGTGATCATCACCTACACTTCCACCACTTTGAATTATGATCAAATGTCTCCCCCTCCCCACCCCAAGCAGAAGCAAAAGACTGACAAGAAAACAAGTAACATTAAGGTACAGATGCTGAGGGGTTTTGCCTTTTTTTTTTTTTTAACCTCCCTCAGTCAAACTCCAGTAATGCTTCTAAATTAAGATAAACTACCAGTACTTCAAATTTCCAACAGAGCTATTCTGCAGGTGGCAAACAGCAAATTCTTTTTAAACCCTTTCATTTTAGTATGACATTTTACAGAATGTATTCATTGTCCCTGTCAATACATGTTGCTCATTTACTAATGTCTTCTCCTACTCTTTGGTCACCTTTCCGCAGTGGAATTCTTTCCTACCGAGCTGCTAACTTTCTTTCCAGGCTTATAGCAATGCATTTTCTTCTCAGACAGGCATACAAGTCAGCAGCCCGATGACATTCTCAACTTACCATCAGCCCCAGGAACAATAAGCCTACTACTCCAGTGCACTCGTACATTACCTCCAAGGCGACACTCATTCTCTCAAGATTGCTTCAGAATTTCCCCACCCATTCATTTTAAACAAATTATAGATGCCTGGAGCAGCTATCTGCAGACAGTATACACATGACTGGCTCAACCTCCATCAAACACCATTGCCTGTCAGGCTCAGAAAAATTATATTAAGAAAAACAAAGATTTTAGGCAATACTGAATTTCACAGGAGGAGGAAGAATACTTTAAGTTATAAACACTATGATATCTTGTTGATGGCACAAGGTGGGGATGAGGTCAGTACGTCAAGCCAAGTGCAGAATGGAAGAAGCAGCAGAGTGGAAACCTCACACAATTCCAGTGCCATCAGCCTGTTAAGAGAGTTTGCCATTCCCTCTCACCAGTGATGGAACATCAGTCATGCTTCTTGGAGACACAGAAATATAGATGTAATAGTTTTAAGTACTAGCATAAGTATGATAAAGGTCTGTTGTTTAATAGTGTTTTTTTTAATCTGTCTACTCAGACATCTGCAGTCCCATTTGTACATATTTCAGCCTTAACGTATATAATGCATTTTAATGTATTCTATTTCTGCTAATGGTGAATTTTACATATTTTCACTTTCAAGCATAAAATAAAAAATCACAGTTAACAGCAAGATGTTTTCTGTAGCACCTGATGCAACAGAAGTGCATTAAGAGTGATCCAAATGTAAATACTACAATAATTACTTTGACATGAGAGCAAAATAACAAGTGGCAGGAAAAGTGAGAAAGTTAAAGTAGAAATAGTTACATTGTATTTCCATGCCTATTTTAAAAGGATTAGTGATACTGTTTAAGATTAAGATTACTGACAGCCGTATCAACAATTGTCAATATATATAATTTTAATGTGGAGTTCTCCTTTTCTGTTCCCTCTTGCTGAACTATGGTTTTGAACTTAATACTATATTATTATTATAAAAAATAAGGAAGAGTTCCCATCCTGCACTGCTCAAAAGTGTTTAAAACTGTGGTTTAAACCTGAAGGAGTCATACAGCAGGAAAGAAACAAAGAAAAAGCAAAAAAAAAATTAGGACAAAGAATGTCATACAGTGGTGTTTCCTACATTATCTGCATGTATTAAGCAAAAGACATCTTGAAAACAGACAACTAGTGTATGGCTACCAGGAAGCCAAGAAAAATGGCACTTCTGGTGTACAGCACACTTGATAAAAACATGGTGTTTTTCTTCTATCCTCAAATCTGCAGCCATGTGATTATGAGATTTTTTTGTTTACATTTTAAAAGGTTTCCAGCCTTTACAGTTGCAAATAATATTTTGTAAAGTAGATTAAATGCAAATCCTAGCATTTTCAATCCAACTGCTCTTTTGGGAGAGGAGTGAGTACTAGGAGTGATCTCTGTTTCCTGAAGAATACTACTCAAAAGAAAAAAGTGTAACAACATACATCCAACTCCTTTCTCTTGTTCTTCTCACTCACCTTCCAGTGTTCTCAAACTCTATGTCTTGATTAAGGGAAATCTGAACTTTCTCCCCTAGATTAAAATTTGTTTATGAAAATAGGTGGACAATATTTCAGTATCACTGTATACCCAACTTCTGAAACTATTACACTGATGTTTATTATTTCAGTTCACCTATTTTCACATAGTTGTATTACTAGGTAACCAATCCCCTTACTCCCCTGCCCAGTGCCTTTAAAGAATAGGCCTTTATACTCCACAAAATATTTTTAATTAGATTTTGAGCTGCAGGATGTTTTTAAAAGCCTTATGTTCAGTTCCACAAATATTTTCCAATTATCTCCAAAATAATGTCAAAATTCTGAATACAGAAGAATCACAAACACAAAGGCAGTAAAATTGTTTCAAAACCTCACTATTTTAGCTCTATCTTTCTATCCATACCAGCATGGGTATTTAACTAAAAAAGTGTCTCTGAAATTCTCCAGTTTATCAGAGAATGGCTTGCTTTCTGGTGACTCTACAAGGAAGACTAGGCTGAAAAAACCCTTGAAATTGTACATTCCAATTAAAAGCAATACAGTCCACATCATTGTATGGTTTGCCAAAGGGATAAATTACAAAGAATCCTTTTACTTCCAGTTAGACAACCTATTTTTAAGAGACGTTTCAGCCACAGACTTCACTTTTTAACCACAGTAAGGATTATCTGCTTCAACATTGGCACAAACCAAACAGCTTGAGCAGATTTAATATTCAGGTTTGCTTTAACCTGAATTCAGGTCAAAAGACTTGCACAGAATAGCAATAAGAAGCAGTTTCCTTACTATAATAGCATTAATTTTATGGAGTGTTTTTAAATATTTCACTCATGTTAAGTACCTTTAGACAGTTCCACCCCATGATCAAAAAAGCAAAGTGGTTGTCAGCCTTCTCTGGCTACAGATAACAACCCATAACAAGAAAGACAATGCATGGGGAAAAAAAAAAAAAATCACTTTATCAGCTTCAGTCATTACCTTTTAAATATTTTATAATTAAAGCAATACTGTAAGGCCTCATCAGCAACACATTTCCCATCAAATATTCACCTAGGAATCATTTATGAAGACATACAAGCATTTGATCAGGAAAATAAATGCTTTTTTGCCATTTCTCCATACTTAAAAAGTCATTTAAACTACACTGTCACTTGTATCAATCGGTTATTAAAATAATCATTTTATTGCTTTTTATTCACCAAGCTGACAGCAAGTCCAGTGCAGCTGAAACATGTAAAGAGTATTGAGCATGCTGTACAGTTTGCTGAACAAAGTATGTTCATCTTCTTGCAACAGACCTACTATACAAATATTGCAGCATACTATCTGCACAGTTATGGCAGTCATTTATACAGCATTTCTGGATGCCCAAAACTCCTGCAAAAATGTTCCAAAGCAATAAGAAAGTAGATGACATTAAAGTGACAGAAGGCTTCCAGTTTCAATCATCCCAGTTAATGTATGATATTGCACAAAGACATTGATTAGACTAGCATAGCTGACAAGTATTTCTACCAAATAGTGTCTAAAGAATCATAAACTCTTTACCCTCTTCCATTTCTCAACTCTTAAGACAGAGGTTCTTCTGCAATACAATTTAATTAATAGTTTCCTCATTGGAGAATTGGAAGCTAAGCTTTTGAAGAGACAAGTGGCAGACTGAGGCTCAAGAAGACTGCAAGAAGTTAAAGTGCTCAAGTATGGTCTGAGTCCACGCCCGTAAATAAATCCTAAAAAGGGGATGTGAACCCAACTGGAGCAACTTGCTTTTAAATACAGAGCCAGCTCTAAAAATCAACAAGTATACTTAACTTTCTCCAAATAACTGAAAATTTGATTAGATCAGGATATTTTTTGAAAATGCCGTACAGTCATACCCAAACAATTTTGGGACATTATCTCACAGCCAGCAAGGCCAGTGTTGTGTTCAAGTTGCTGGCCTAATAGACCCAAGCTGATTCTGTGTTTTGCTCTTCAGCACTTCCTTCCCTTGTTCCAGATGCACAGTGCTAAAACACCTCAGTAAATCCATGTCACTTCTGGGAAGATTTACTGGCTTGAGCTAGCTTTGGAATCAATGCAATCACATCCACATAGCATTGCATCTGAGCTAGTAAATCTTGACTCATGTTTGCTCCCATAATCAACATGGTTTATCTGCAGACTGGCTATATTAAACACTCATAAAAGAGAGCTGACTTGTCCAATAGCATTTCTCACACCAACTGGCTAACCTTACTTCATTTCAGAATATTTCTAATAATTTATTAAAACTTTTAACTTTATGACCTAATTTTATATATCCTCCTGTTTTTACATGAAAGTAAACTCTGTGCCTTTCTGTTTATGTGGTGTGAAAATTAAAGACTGCAGGATGCATTCATAATACAGCCTCTACGGGCCACAAGACTGACTTGGAAATTGACTGCAGAGTTACCAAATTCTGAACATGTCATATATCATCATTCATATTTTTCCCCACACACATTAATTTGTATGATATGCCTATGAAGTAAAAATAAGTAGCCCATGTTACAAACAACAACAAAAAGCAAAAAAGTAGCAGTAAATGTGGGAACTGTAGCACAAAAACATGTACCACTGATATGTTACAACATACTATCAAATACAGTAATAATTGCAATACAATTAATATTGTAAAAGCAAGAAACCAATAGCAAATTTTAAATTCCCTAAAGGGTTTCCCATTCAAGATTTATCAGACTTATTAAAAAAAATTCAGCAAGAAAGATATGGAAAAAAGTGTGCAATTTTCTGTTCTACAGTTTCTCTTGTTTGTGTTGCTCTTTAGCCTTTAATATAATGATGTGCTCATAAAAATAACAATTTTCAATCCAACTGAGGAATCTGCATACCATCTGACATTACTTTTTGTTCATTTACAGAGCCAGCTATTTTTTTTAAGTGTGTTCATGAAAGCTACAAAGTGCATATCCCCGTTTTGTGAGATTATTAAATATACCATCATTAACATGGTCACACGGATCGTAGTAGTTTGTCTACTTCCTAATGACCGCACTTAACTGACCACCTTTACGTAAGTTCTAGAAGATTTTCTTTTCAAAATGTTGTGTATCCAAATTCTTAGTATTTGACCCTTCAGTTAATGATATAATTTTAATAGTCATCATAAGTCAAGCAGTTTGTTTCCACAGAAAGACCCTTGCATTTTTTTTTCAACAAGTTACAACAGTTTTCATAAGAATTAAATAGTACAAACAGCAAGTGGTTACAAATCCAAGCATAGTTTATATTTTCTTTATTAAAAGCTTTATTCTTTTGGATAGAAATAACATTTAATTCTCATTCCATTTTATTAAAATTCTTAGCATTGATTTATCTAACGTTCATAAGCATATGAAGTTTTTAAAATAAAACTTAGTCCTCCTTAAACTGCTATGTTAATACCAGTTATTTAGCAACATCATAAAGCAGTGTAGTTAGCCTAAAGAATTTTGTCAAATTACCAATTTATGTGACTAAGGAAAAAAAAGTAACAAAACTTAATAAACTTCATAATTTTTCAAATATATGATTTAGTTGAAATTACATTCATAACATTAAAGTAAGATTTGCTCCTCAGGAAAAGGAACACTAAACTAGGAATTTAAAGTATTAGATCCCCTTTCCTTTTTATATTGAGCTGTTATTCTATCTAATGACAGTTCTTCAAAGATATGTGGTGATCCAGAACATATTTTAAAAATCCCTTATCACTGAAGGAATTCAAAGTCATAAAATATAATTTTACTTAGGATGACACTATACAAAACAGCACTGTATTAACTGCTTCAGGAACATGGAAAATCTTGATTCAAGAAGACAAGAGCAAAATTATTTTATTTCCATGCATTTCTTAAGCTTGTATCACTTGAAAGAAAAAAAAATATTTTACTTATGCAAACTCTTAGGAAATCAGTACACTACTGCACAATATGCATTTCCATGGACCAACGGTAATGAACCGTTATTATGATCTATACTACTATAATCACTTTCTTAAACTGTTTTTCTTTAGATATTCTTACCAAATGTTACTTCTCCATTGCCACTCTTGTCAAATAACTGAAAAGCAACAATGAATATTGCATCTGGAGTACACAAAACAGATTCAAATGCCAAAAATTCTTGATAGGAAATCAACCTACAAAGGAAATTACAGAAGTTAAAGATTTCAAACAATTATTCACAACACCAATGAAATTTTGTGTTTGATGCTCTAAAAAACTATATGATCCAATTATTAAAATAAAATTCTAATATAAAAAAGTTAAGACACTACACTAGAAACTGAAGTTACATACTGAATTATTTGTTACATTTACGGAGTTATTTAACCTTTATGCAACTTAGCTTTTTCCTCTATAAAAGCACTGAATTCCTCAGAACCATCAAGAACAAAATATAATCAATTCTCAGTGAATACCTAAAATGTATTACCTTGTAATTATAAATGTAAGCAGACAGCACTTAGAAATTAAGACATAAAAAACCCACAAAAATTCTACCACCATGAAATTTACAGGGCTGTCAATTTATATATGTATTTCTACTAAGAAAGAAAAGATGGTTTAATGCAAGTGTAGGAAGATACTCTACCATGTACATACTTTCTTAAAGCAATGTACAGCATTCATAAAAAACAAACAGGTTCAGAAAAAGTTATACTTTACCATGTATACAGAAGAAGTAATACACTTCAAATATAACGTGAACCACAAAGTCATGTACTTAAGAAAGAAAGAAACTCTAAGAACATTTGGACATAACGACAGTTAGATATGACCAAGGCAGGGAAGGATTTGAGTGTAACAGCAGATCACAAGATTCTGAGGTATTGTATGCAAGACAGTCACCATATAGAAAAATGCAACTCAGGATGCATTAGGAAAGCTGCTTCTGTGCGAGATAAGGAAGCAGTGGTATCCCCAGGCAGGGTTCCTGCAACATCTCTAGAACGCTGCACAGAAATCCAAGTCCTTGTGTTCAACAGATATAAACTCAGACTTGAATATATGCACAGGTAACTTATTAGGATAATCATAAATAACTTTTCTAGAGGAACTCAGCTTATTCTAACAGAAAAAAACATTTATAAGGGATCCTAATGATGTAAAAACAGCTGCAGAAAGATAAGCCCTAAGCCAGGAGAAGATAAAGGATAATGTTGGCACAAGAACAAAATCACATATCCATAAAGATATTTAGAGCAGGCAAATACTGTGGCCTTTCCAGAATACTGCAAGCAAAAGCCTTAGGTTTTAACAAAAAACTTGGTTTATTAAAACTACTGTGTGTTTTCATCCTTGTAAAAATATAGGACTTAGTTGACTACTTAGAATACTGCATCCAGTTACAAGTTCCTGAGTTCAGTCTATAGAAATAAATTATGGGATACTTATTTTAGCATCAAATAAATTATCAATGGCAATAAGAATTTTAATTGTATTTTTTAAATTAAACAAAAAAAAGTAGTATTTCAGTAGATGCTGTTAAAGCATTGAATATCACTGTAGATGGTACACTCTCCTAGAAAATGTATGTAATTGATGTGAATTTAGTACTCTTCATAGGAAATCATTAGCTCATAGTGATTACTTCACACATAAACTTTTTACTGCTAAAAAGCCAAGTATAAATTCTGTTCCCTACAGCGGGGGAAAAAAAAAAACAAAACAAGTCACACCATTCATTAGTTTATCTAGTCTTTCTCTGTCGAAGTACACATAAAGCAGAACTGAGATATTTTAAACAGGTTACATATGTTAACATCCCTGCATATATGCATTATACAGAAATTACAGAAAAAAATTTAGTGATTTTGAAAGGAATTAAGATATGGTAAATACAGAATTAGGGTATTAATTTGTCATACTTTAGCCACAAAAATCAGAGACATGAGAATGGTTCTTCAGATGCAATGTTATCCAAAGGATGATCTTGATAAATAAGGGCTTAGTATCAGAGAAACAGAATATCCTTTAAAATAATTGTAAATATTATAATTTCAAAATATACCTCACATAGAAGCGTAAACCTGACATACAAATTAATTCCTAACCAAGAAGCTTTATAACTGACAGAATCAACTGACAGTCTCTGTAGAAGGCATTCATAGAAGCCTGAACCTTAAAGTAGCCATCTTCAGAGGTCTCACTTTAAGAATGCCTACAGCAAAAGGAGATATACACATTAGATTTCCTTTCCATATATTTCACTTGCAGTGCCCAAGCAGGGATATCCCCTGTGATCCTCCATCATCCATTAGGGCGGAGATAACAGGAGCTGGATTAAACAGAATGATGGAGCTTCCCACCCAATTGCTACTCAAGCATCATTCAGTGAATCCAGTGCATTAGACAGTCCATAACAATATCACTCACCTTTCATTTTATCTGTAACATTTTAAAAAATTTCCTTTCCTCTTATTTCTTCTGTACAGTTACCCTTCAAAAGCACACAAAGTAAGCCGCAGGCTTACAATTCTTCTCTCTCCTTTTTTCCTACTACAACTCTTTGCCCTTTTTTCCCCACACAACATAGCTTTTAGACATTATATATAGCTCTGTTGTGACTCTCTGTTATGTGAAACATCAACTCTTTCTTCAAGACTTAGCTTAAGAACTTATTTCCAAATTTTAAGAACAATATGCTGATAAAAAGAGTACCCAGAAACAAGCAATTAAAATGAAGAATTATGAATGACTACTGTGATATTTTCAGGGCTTGAAGGGAGAAGAAAATCTTTCATTTTAAAACTCCAATACCCACTAATGTTAACTGACTTACGTAATTGGGAAGTCGGTTTTGGCACGCACATATAAGTACATTATTCACAAAGAATTATCCTGATTTCAAAACTAGTGCCTGCAGTCCAAAGACATAGGAATGCTTACAGCATCAGTGAAATCCCATTTTATTAAACAGATAGCAGGCAAGGCAGTTTAGGCCAAATCCTAATGTAAAGCTCATCACATTAATTTCTCAGAACATGCATTTCTAACAATGAGGAATAAACACTTTGAAAGTGGAGAGTCATCTGTTTTAAGAACTACCTTACAGAGTTCCACTAAAGCACACCAGTCTTGAACTGTAGTAACGGGAGAAGGCAAGACTATTCCAGAACAGTTAAGTAAGGATCAAGTTACCATCAGAAAAAAGTAAAAAAACATTTTCTTAAACATATGCCTACAGACAGCCAGTTCCAAAATATGCTTTTTTTCTAAAGTGACAAACTTAAACCTAAATTAAATTCAAAAAAATTAACAAAGAAGAGTTACCAAGAACACTTTGAGTATTTATTTGAAGGGCAAGCAAGGCTAAGAGAATATGATAGCAGACAGCAGATAGGAATGAAATTTCATAACAGAACCTGAAGCTTCTCAATGACTTGCTGTGTGACGTTGGGCTGTCATTTAATTTACAAATGTATGTATGCAATAGGACTACTGATACTTCCCTGAACTTCATAAAGTAACTTTAAGTCCTTGGAAAGATGTAATGCATTCTGGAATTCAGTTGAAGATTACAATAATTATTCATGCTACAAATTAAACTCTCTGTGCAGATAACATATTAGAGTCTGGATTTTGATATATTACAGCTCACTAAAATGGAAGAACGTGAATGTAAAAGTAAATAAACAAACCAGTAACGATGATGGTGGTGTAACAAATTCTTCACATGAAATACAGATTAGAGGTAAATATAGATTAAAACACTTAGTAAATTAAGTTTCAGACAAGTATTCAGAGAAACATTTTGCAATGCAGACCATATGTAATAATTCCCATTCCCACTGTTCCCATACAGAAGTAGATAAAGCACACTTACCCATGTTTGATCACCTTACTTCAAATATCACCCAGATTTAAAAAAAAAAAACACCAACGAAAACTTATATTCACAGGGAAAGCAAGAAAAAAGTGATGCTTCAGTGTAAAGTTCTGTTGTAGCAATAAAACAAATTACTGATTTTTTTACTGTAAGAAAGATCCTATCATAAGACATTCTCTGAAGAAATGCACACCCATAAAAGATAACCAACAGCTTTCAGAGAAGCAAGATACTCAACATGTCGGTTTACTAGTCATCAATTAGACTATTACTTCAACAGATACATACAAAATAGCCTTTTCAATCCACGTTTAATGTAGGTACTAAAGACTCTACATAGTACCTAATCATGGACATGAGTATACAGAAAAGAACTTTTCCAAGACAATCATGCTACATTAAACTTATGTGCAGTTCAACTTCGTCTGCATTGGTAGTAATTGTTAAAATTCCATTAAAACAAATCTTAATTTAAAAAATACATGTTAAACACTGTATTTTTTCCCAATTTACACAAATTTAGTCCATTGTGCTAGAGAAAAAACTTATCTAAATAAGCTTAAGGTATAATAAAATCAATAATATATTTTAGAAGATGAAATTATCAAACTCATTCACTCACACATTTACCAATGCATTACAAGCTTCTAATGGAAAGCAAAATTCTCACCCATCCTTTGTTTGATCTGCCACTCCAGCCAACAGCTGCACTGTTTTAGGATTGTAACGCGGATCTGTATAAAGTCCTAGGTATTTCTGCACAAAATCTTCTGGGGTCATGTAATGCTCACCATCTTTCTCAACGCTGGCATACTAGAGTGAAAATAAAAAACAAAACCACACAAACAAAAAGGAATCCATTTAGATACTAATTATCAGTGATTACCAAACTAGTATCTTTACTGAGCATCACTTAAAATGGTGCACAACTGTCTGCACATAACTGCTCTGAAATTAAAGGGCTTGATTACACTAATAACATTACTATACCAGTTGCATACCACCAACAATCAGATTATCCTTGTAGAATAGATGTGTTCACATAATGACCAATATCTTCTAATAAAAAGACAATGACATATTTTCAGAAACTACCAGGTAATTGCATAAATTTATAAAAATTATAGCCATGCTGTAGCTTTCCATTTGCAGATACACTGTGAAAACACATCACATAAATCTTTTTACAATTTATGATAGCAGATGTCTTCTGAATAATCGCTCCGGATCATTATTATATTTAGTTTGGAAAATATATATTATTTTTCTCTTTCTGTGAGAAACAAATTTTCAGATTAATTTTTATCCTGAAACTAATGGTTTTGGCATTTTTCATTTAAGTAAAAATTCACACACACAGACAAAAAGGATTGAGTCAATTGAAATGTTTTAATTTGACTTCAAGTTTTAAATTTTATTAACAATAAATTTTCAAATAAAAAAATCAGAGGCTAATTTTAGAATTATAGTATTTAAATATTAATACAATTAGCTAAAAATAAAATAACCAAGTACATCTTTATTATTTGTACACCCAGACAACTGCCACATGTCTATTCAGTATTCTTACTGATTACTTTTCTGTTTCAAATCATTAATCACTGGTTCTTATCTACAGGCCAACTTTAAATTAAAAGTGAACTTTTTAGCATAAAGTAAATTCCATGCCCTCAGTTGTCAAGTTACGCAGGATAATACCACTCATGAATTAAGAACATGAGGAGGCAGGCATAGAAAGCATCACAGTGATGAATAAAAGGGAAATGTATTATGGAAGTTCATACCCCTCAGACCTCGTTTCAAGATGCCACTATAGTTACAGGAAAAATTTCTCGTCCTTTATTTATGATATAAAAGCAATCATAGAAATAAAACCTAAGTTTTCAGATTGCAAAGTTAAACTATATTTGCATCCTGGCACACAGGAAAGTAGCTCACAAAACATTTCTAGTTCACTGAACTACTGTGACCCAGTCCAGTTTGATGACTGAGTTTGTTCCTCAGCATTTTTGCTCACAAAACTTGTAAGCAAGCTTATTTAACAGTTTAAAATCCACCTCTTCTGTTCACTCTCTACTGTACAGTCTACTTGTACACACAATGATTTAGATGCAGACCTTCACACATATCCATAGAACTGTGTTTGTTCTGAGAAAGTGAAGTTACAGAACTATACAGTTGTTTCATTAGGCTTTTGATTTGCAATAAAAGTAGTGATTTTTAATTCATTTATAAAAATGTAATTTGCCTTTCTAGGTTCTAGTCATTAAAACATGACTACATAAGCATTCATCTGCAGAAAAGGAAATGGCAATGCCCCCTAAGACCTATAGTGCAACATCTATGCTAGTGAATTCAAACTTCAATTAATGACCTCATCTATGATATGCAACTTTTCCACTATGCACTGCAGTATCTTGATTCAGTTGACACAGCTTTATGTGAAAGAGTAACAAAATGGGCCCTTAATCTGCAAGGGACCTTCGGGAATTAGAATATTAACAATAAGACCTACACACAATACCTGTTAAGGTGTAACACTCAGTTACAACAAAGGGGATCATTCACATCTCATGCTTGTTTCAGCCGTATGCAACCCAACCAATTCAGTCAGGACACTATTTCAGCGTAAAGGAGCTTACATCAGCATCAATGCCTGCTTAAGTATCTCCCATATCTCTTCAACAATACAAGCCTCTCACATCACCTTATCACCGTTTCCTCTTCCACCTTATAGCTGTGATGACAGCTGTTTGCAAGACTGCACTGTAAACCAGACTACCGAACTAATCCAGAATTAAAATAGATGATTTCCACAAAAATAGGAACACAAAGCAGTGGACAGGAATCCCTTAATTCAGCTCTGCTGTCAACATGGCAATATAAAGAAACTGTGGCTTCACTTCATCGACTCAGAAAGGTTCTCTTCTCAGTCACATACACAAGTGACTAAAAGATGCATTATGAAGCACAATTCCACTGCAAGGCATACAATCCAAAGAAAGTGTTACATATGAAGGACCATCCAACATACAGAATATTGAGTGTATCTTCAAGAATAACAGAATTCAACTGTATGACAGTTGAGGGCATATCAAAGACAGTCAAAATCCACACATCATAATCTTTTTTTCTTCAGACACCCATTTATCTGTGTTTATTACAAACAGTAAATTGTTTTACAATAAAAACAGCGGGGAAGTTTTGTTAAAAATCTTTTGAGACAAAATAATTGACAGATACATTGAAGTCCATATGAGAAGGTTATGGTATTTTGAAAGAGCTTGGCAGCGAGCCAATAAATTAAGGCCTGACAAAGTAGTTAGGCTTTCCCTTTTGGCATGCAAGTTATCTTTTCACCATGCAACTGAAGTCAAGAATCTTTTAGCACAAAATAGGCAATTGTAAATTATATCTTAATTTGCATATAAAACCTAACACATAAGCTGAATCTGTATTTTCCTCAGTCTTGAGTTATATTACTTTAAAATACAAAATTCTTACTATACATTTATAGACTGTGTCAGGTAAGCACTTGATGAATTTGCATAAGATTTTTTTTTAAACATCATCACATAACACGAACACACAAAAACCCTATTCATACAGTATAGGGTTAGGTACCACCACACTTTCAGGAACAATGTTTTCTTTGAAAAATTGGTTTGTTTTCAATTTAAAGGAGGTTTCTATCCCAATTATTTTATCTGAGCAGAGGAGAAAAAAGTTCCAAAACAGAAGAGACCTATGGGTATGTTTAACTTTTTTTTTTTTTTTAAATGAAGCTAAGTTATAAGCAAGAGATTCAGGATGTTTGGGAGGTGGAGTTTCCTGTATTAAAATTGGAAATTTATTTTTGTTTCTTTCTCCACCTTGCTGGAGCAGGTTCCACTTGCATTCAGCAAGCAGGGAATAATTCAACTATGTTACATGAGGGCTGACTGCATCTTGCCAAAGAAAAAAGAATGAAGGCTCACTAAAATCTGGTAATTGTTGTTCTACCCAACTCTTTTATCCTTCAGTGAATTTCTATTCTGTTCTTTTATGGTTGTTACTGAAGTCAGTGGTTAGCAAACACTTGAGAAGTAAGGTAGTTTGATGGTGTACAAACATGAAATTTCAATGCCTGCATTTCACAGTTACAGGATTACAGAGAAATAATAGCACATCTTTTTAATACAAGTCACACAAAATGTTTAAGAGTTTAAAATTATAAAAAAATATATATAGCAAGCTTCAGAAATTCTTAAGAGAAAGGTATATGTCAAGCATCCATTAAGATACAACTTAAACTGGATGGACAGAGGACACATATGACATTAGAGGATACGCATGAACAGAAGGAAATTTAATTTAAGTACACTCTCTATGAATAAGGTGGATGACGGAGAGGCCCAGAGTTCACATCTTCCCTTGCTCCCATTTCTCAGGGAAGCCAAATTTAGGAAGGAATGCACGCCCTTTAGCTGAAGCTCACCGAACAGGCCAGCACCCTCTGCAAAGAGCACAACATATCTGACTCCTGATGTGTGCAACACTAGCAGCATTTCATAACAAGACTCTCTACAACTGGGTCT